TTACCATTCCCTTCAAAGACCAACGTTCGGATGACTTCGTTAAAAAGCAAATCATTGATTTGTCTAACAAAACATCCACTTCCATCCAGCCTGTTTTTGTAAATGACTGTATTGGAAAAGCCTTGCAAGTTAAAGAGATCAAGCCTGAATTAGTTAACAATCAATGTGTAGTTTATGGTTTTCAATGTGACTTGTACGATGCAAGTTATATAGGTTACACGAAACGACTCCTATTTCAGCGCGTTGTTGAACACAAACAGGCCCAATCGTCAATTTACAAACACTTTAAAAACGATCATGGCATTACACCAGGGGAGTCATTTTCAAGTTATTTTGAAATGCACGAGCAAATTTAATTGCCTTGTTTACGAGATGTTGTACATACAATCTAAAAAACCATCTCTTAATGTTCAATCCGACTCCCTGAGGTCCAAACTCTTTGTTTAGACATTTTTTTATGTAAAKTTTGATAAACTGTTATAAAAATCAACTACAGCAAATAAAATATATCACTTGAGAATGAGATCATGTCGATCTCGAAACATCGTAATTTTTGGTCTTTGTCGTTTATTTTATTAGTTATTTCCAAACCTTTGCTGATCAATAGAAAAATATGAATGTTTTAAAATGCAGGATTCTATCACAGTGTCATAAACATATAAAAGTGTATTCATAATGATTCCACATATTACAATAATAGCATTCACTAGTGTTAGACAATATACAAATATGCAGATCACAGACAATAAATCTGTTTTGAACTGTTTTCAAATGCAAACAACGCCAGTATATTCAATTAAATCTCTAATAGATGGAATAGGCCATTGTTAGACTATTATTCATTTGAAGTACTTACATTATTGATGCTTATTTGAATTTTAGTTACAAATAAGCAACATCTGACAACATGACATCACAGGGCTCCACCTCATCACAAGAACGCAAGTATCAAAGTATAATAGTTTTTTCTATTGACTTGAATACCCCTAGATATCACCCTTCTAAAAAATTTTGTTATTATTCCTCATTTTCGTATCAACGTTTTTTTTTTCTTTTTTCAGACTCAAGTACTATCTCAGGCTACATACACCAGTTATCACCAGTAATGAATGCAAACAACAAACAAAAAACAGCATATTTCAATTTCAACATCCAAACTTCGAGTGACAGTACAGCGTGCAGTCTGCTATCATCCTGAAAAAAAAGCGAAATATTAAATTTCTAACAACAACAGACCCCTGTTAGTTTCAAAGATGGGCAGTTAACTCCCAACAAAAGAAACGCTTCACAGATGGACTTTTCAGTCAGGAAAAAAAAAATACAAGCAACAGTTCTGGACTTCGACTATGATGCGTCCTTTGATTCCAAACTCACACACCTCTCCTCAGTAGCTTCATTATCTCCATTCACCCAGCTTGATGTTAAAGTAAAAGTGGTATCAAAGACTGAAGAAAAGCAAAAGATGATTGTACGAGATCATCCATGCTTCAAGACAGATTGCATGATCTTTGATGGGACTGAATTTCAAAAAATGTTACATATTTAGTATAACAGAAATTATACAAAATTCTGTTCACAAAGTTAATGTTCTCATTTGATATATTGTTTATTGAGTATATATCAAAATGCAGCAATATGCTGAAATTCTGATCTAGCAAGTATATAACTATATAACTATATGTGGGTGCATCATGGAAATCAACCCATGATGTCAATTTAGTGAAACCGCAGATCCATTTCCCATGTAGATGCACCTACATATAGTTATATACTTTGCTAGATCAGAATTTCTGCATATTGCTGTATATGATATAACACATGCTGCCATTAAAGTTACTAAAACTTATTTATTCTCTTATACTATATTTATATTCAGTACACACCAATTGCTTTACCCAATCTTAGACTGCATATTCATATTGTTTCTTTCTTTTTTCTTTCTTTTTCTTTTGCTATAATGCACAATTTTAATTATAATTTCATTGCACTAGCCACATGCAGTCCTTGACTGCGCATTTTTCATACTTTGATATAGATAATTCGTATTGATTAAGTATGGATATTTTCACTTTTGTAAGTGAAAACCGTCGACGGCGAATTAGAACCGTCAAAACATCGTACGATAATTGGTACTGAGAATAAAATTCGCGAACATTCTACATAGCATTGCTTACAAGTTTGCTTTAAATGCATGGTTTCTCTAGAATAGGTCACTTTAGTTTGGTTATTGGAGTATAGTTTGCAGAAAAAGGTACAAAATAAGCCAAATTCTATAATGACACAGGGTRCCC